GTGCGCGTGCGTGCGTACATGTATACGCGTGTATATCTCACCACAGTGATGTGCGTGCGTGTGTGCGTGTGCGTACATGTATACGCGTGTATATCTCACCACAGTGATGTGCGTGCGTGCGTGTGCGTGCGTGCGTACATGTATACGCGTGTATATCTCACCACAGTGATGTGCGTGTGTGCGTGCGCGTGCGTGCGTGTGCGTGCGTACATGTATACGCGTGTATATCTCACCACAGTGATGTGTGTGCGTACGTGTGTGCGTGTATACGTGTGTATATCTCACCACAGTGATGTGCGTGCGTACGTGTGTGCGTGTATACGCGTGTATATCTCACCACAGTGATGTCCTGACAGCTTTGCGGTGATCACGCCGGCCCGGCCGCGTCCATCCTGGCTTCGTCGTCGGCACGGCAACGGCAGCGTGCTGGTCGGATTCCGCGAGATCCGAAGGCCCGCTGCAGACGAACAACACGGGAACATCCGGAGCGATGTTCCTGAGATCCTGCAGTTCGATGATATCCTGCGAACAGCATCATATGTTCTGTGAATGTTCTACGAACACGAAGGTACGTTGTGTGAACGCAGCCATGTTCTGTAAATATGTTCTAGAAATATAAGCGTATGTGCAGTGAATGGAATCTTATGTTCTGTAAATTTGTTCTATGATCACGAGCGTATGTTCTTTGAATGCAACCATATTTTAAGCAAAATCGACTGTTGTGGGATATACTAATTTCAAGTTAATTATATATAACTAATACATAAGATTATGAAAGAAAAATATCTAGTTTTTCTTCTAACCGCCTTTTAAACTTCTCTCCCCACCTCCTCTTTCACCGCCTCCTCTCTCCACACCCTCACCTCACCACACCACCTCCTCCTCCTCTTCCTCTCACACACCCTCACCTCTCACACACCCTCACCTCGACCTCCTCCTCTCACACACCCTCACCTCTCCACACCTCCTCACCACACCTCCACCTCCTCCTCCTCACCACACCTCCTCCACCTCCTCCTCCTCACCACACCTCCTCCACCTCCTCTTCCTCACCACACCTCCTCCTCCTCCTCCTCCTCCTCTCTCTCGCGTCAACGTACCGATGGTGACAGCTCCTCTTGTCCGATGGCGTAGATAACTATCGGCAGTACTTCCTCCGTACACTGAGTGTACAGCTGGGCCATCG